GAGAGCAGAACGTTAGAGACTATTGCAGTTGCCGTCCTGAGACTCTGGAGCAATTTACCCTCAGATATTCACACTGTTCCAGATGTCGCTCTTTTTAGGGCCAAACTGAAGACACATCTGTTCAGGCTCTTCAAAAAAAGTAAAAAAAAACAATCAACTGGAATTAGTTTAAACAAAGTCCAGTGGATTATTTTTTTAAAAACTTTTTTTGGAACGACTATAACCTGCATGACAGCGAATCTTCACCAGCGTCTGGATTTTAATACCCAGCAATGAGACACTTTTATTCCTTTGGATTTGACTGTTTTCTACTGAACATTGTGACTTTACGTATTTTATAAAGCACTTTGGGCACCTGCTGTCTGTATAATACATTAGGATTGATTGATAGTAAAGGGACAGTGACCCTATTATATATTAAAAGTCTCCTGGTGTATACTTTTATAATCAATTTATTTTTGAAGCATCCTATGAATTGTTTATGGAGCAATAAGAATAAATAGGAGGGGACCATTTATGTTTTTTTACTTTCACTGAATTAATAATAAACTGTATAAACAATGATGCCTAAACTCTGATTGTAAAGTGTATTCAGTCTGCACTCCTCTGCGTTCTCCCACTGACCTTGGTACCTGCCTCAGCTTACTCTGTCACTACCTGCACAGGCTTTTTCTGGCTCTGACTCTTATTATAATTGAGTGTCAGTGTTTGGCTCTGGGGCTGGAGCTGGCATGTCCTGCAGCTTTTTTTTTTCCCTTCTCAGAGAACAGATCCAGTCCATGCACACACTTGGCTGTCACTTCTCTTGGCGCTCACTTATCTAAATCTGGCTTCCTATGTGTGTCCACCTTTGACAGGACCTCCCTCGGCGCCACAGAACCTGGTCTACAACATCAACCAGACCACCGTTAATCTAGAGTGGAGCCCGCCGGCCGACGCTGGCGGGCGGAATGATGTCACCTACAGGGTGATATGCCGAAGCTGCCGCTGGGAGTCTGAGGAATGCGAACCATGCGGTCCGAACGTGGGATACTCTCCTGGACAGTCGGGATTAGTGGACACTTATGTAAGCGTCACGGACCTCCTCGCTCACGCCAACTACACCTTCGAGGTGGAAGCTGTCAACGGAGTGTCTGACCTGAGCCGGACGCAGAGGCTGTTTGCGGCGGTCAGCATCGCTACCGGTCAAGCAGGTGAGGCTGATAAACTGATGTTGCTGCTTCCTTTAGGGAAGATTCTTTGTGTCTCAGTTGTTTTGTATGAAAACACAGAAATATAAAAGCTGCTCCCTGCAGCCTGTGTAGAGTTTACAGAATGTGTGGCTGTGAGGAGCATGCACTTTGCTCCGGCTCACAGAGCATCACACATTCTCACCCTGACGGTTGACAGTTTCATTTTGAAACCCTCTCCTACACAAGCCCCCGTAATGATGCCCAATTAACATTAATGGGTGTAGCCTGATATGATCCATGATATTTCCTCCATGAATATTAACCAGATTAATTGAATGTGTGTGTCAGCACTGCAGCAGCAAACGTTATTAGCTTAGCAACGATGCAGACTGAGAGGAGTACCTAAAGACTGTGTGCTGCTTGGTCTCATGGGAGTTTGCTGTAATTAAAATGCTGTGTTTTGCAGTGACAGACTCTAAATCCCTTTTTATTCATTATTTCTATGGATCCGCTCAACGAGATTCCTCTTTCATGCTCGAGCATCCATGAAACACAGTTGGCCCAAAAGGCCATGCTCACATTGGCGGGATCAAAAGATGGCTGCAAATAGAGTATTAGAGCTCTTGCTGAATGTGCAAGTTCTATATGTGGATAACTATACCTGTCTTCTGCTCAGCATCAAGCCACATTTTCTTTAAACATTCAGTGTTTGTCATGTCAGTATTCTGAATATATATTTATTTAGAAGGCATTAGACAAATCTAGCCAATGAGCTGCATAAGCGTGTGAGCTATGATCCTGGAGAGGATGTATTGGATGTGGTTTGCGTCATGACAACCATATGCATGCTGGCATGTGGAGCTGCAGCGATGAGGCCAAGGGCGGCCCAATGTCAACTGGGGGATAAAGGGAAGACAATTAAACGGTTGTTCTCTCAGAGGCTGTCATCGTTAGCGCTGCATTGCAGACGGCACAGTTACCCGGATAAACAGCTGGAATATTAAGCCGGTGTGTTGTCTATTACTTTGAAATCATAGCTGTCTTTAATATGCCTTAAGAGCCATAGTGGATACAGGATGTAATCCCATCTTCATGTTAGGTGTAGGTGCCACCAATGTTGTTTCAGTTCATAGTTCAAAAGAAGGACTTCAAAGTTCAGTTAACACAGATTAAAATGAACCAGTTCATAGTTCACTTTTTCACAAACCTTTAAATGAACTACTTCCAGTTCCTTTGGTAAATGAAGCTCAGATCCTCCACAACAGAACCTCATATTTCACCCTTTAAATGCGTGATCATAATATATAGAAATAACTAAATTTCTATTCAGTTTATTTCTATAGCGCCAATTCACATCATGTCATCTCAAAGCACTTTCCAGTTCAAGCAGATCAAAGTTTTCTATCTAAGGAAAACCAGTTGATTGCATCGACTCATTGACTCTTCAGCAATCCCTCACACTAAGCATGCTTGTAGCGACAGTGGAGAGGAAAAACTCCCTTTGAACAGGAAGAAACCTCCAGCAGAACCAGGCTCAGTGTGAGCGGCCATCTGCTGAGGCCCACTGGGGTTCAAGGAGACAGAAGCAGACATAGAAAAAGAAGCATAGATACAAAAGGAAAATCCTGGATGCAGTCCAGGTATACAGATGTGCAGAGAATACACAAAACTTCAGAATCATACAGGAACATTCAGGTTCTGCTGAAAAGATCTGGATCCAAATGATTTCTTATGTTCCTCATTCAGTAGCAGATATTTCCCAACATAGCTCGGATGTTTTAACTCCATGTGTGCCTTTAAATTAGAAGTGGATGTGGCTGACGTATGAATATGTCTTTTTGTCCGGTAGTACAAGCAGATCCTTGTTCACAGTGTCCTTATGGTTTGCAACAACCTTTCAAAAATCTTTTGAATCTTTTAATGTAGATGGGAGGTTTCTTGGCCTAATTTATTATTTCTAGTTTCATGGAAAATAAAGCTACTTTCTTTAGCTTATGAGTCACAGAAGAGGCTGGAAGTGAAATAGTTTTCTTCAAGGCGTCTCTTCTGCCTGTGTCCTTGTGTTTCCCTGTTCAGCAGAACCAGCTGTCATCAGCGTGAGTTAATCTCGCCTTGCTTCAAAAAAGGTGACTGAAGAACAGATGAGTGTGGAATAGTAAATAATGTTTGAAGGAGAGCGTGTATTGTTGGTGGCAGTTTGACGTGATCCTGCTGTTTGGAGCTGCGGTACACATCGCAACCTCAACGCCAAGACGGTTGGAGCGCTGACAGCACAGCGTGATCAGGTTTTAACCTCAGAATGATGCCATGCTTCAGACTTTCACTGCAGTGGTTAGAAGCCCCGTAGATCTGCCCACTTACTTTCCTGGATATGGGCAGTGTGGCAAGTTCTTCTTCTGCTTCCATTTTTACCGTACAGGTAAAATCACACACAGAGTCAAATAGTTGATAGTCTTTTTGTTTTTGATNGGGCAGTGTGGCAAGTTCTTCTTCTGCTTCCATTTTTACCGTACAGGTAAAATCACACACAGAGTCAAATAGTTGATAGTCTTTTTGTTTTTGATTAAAAAAAAATAAAAATCTGGATAAGACAGTGGCCGTTTCTACGGCAGAGGATTAGGGCCACTCTATAAAAAAAAAGTTAGCTGATTTTTAAATTTTATTTCAGTTTAACATGGGAAAAAAGTCAGAATTCTGACTTTAATCTCAGAATTTTGACTTTTTTCTCAGAATTTTGACTTTAATCTCAGAATTCCCAATTTTTTCTCAGAATTCTCACTTTTCAGAATTTTGAGTCTCTCAGAATTCTGACGTTAATCTCAGAATTCTGATTTTTTTCTCAGAATTCTGACTTTAATCTCAGAATTCTGACTTTTCAGAATTTTGATTCTCTCAGAATTTTGACTTTAATCTCAGAATTCTGACTTTTTTCTCAGAATTCTGACAGCTAACAAACATGTTAGCATCAAGCCATAGCCACATATGTTTTAGAGAGTAGCTCCCTTGTTTTAAGGACCTTCTGCTCCTCCATTAATGAGGCGACCCGTCGGGCACGTAAAAAGTTGCCTAATTCCGTCATTTTCCACCAATTTGTTACTGGCCATCTCCAACAAATCTCATCTTTGTCAGTGAAGCTGAGTGCTCCCACATCTCTTCCTTCATGTTGCCCATCTACATTAAGATTCTAAATTCTGAGATTAAAGTCAGAATCTCAGAATTCTGACTTTATTCCCATATTAAACTGAAATAAAATTTAAAAATCAGTAAACTTTTTTTTTTTTTTTTCAGTGGCCCTTATCCTCTTCCGTATGTGTCTCAATATGTTACATAGTGCAACATCAGCCCTGGTACTGTTTCGGTTATTAAGAAGACGCAGAACGGACAAAGTCCCTAGATGGGGTTCTCGCCCCTCCCTCTTTACCCAGCATGCATCAGAGCAGACTTGTCTGTTCTCGAGATGGACAGCTGTCCCAGCATGCACTGCGGCAGCAGCAGCTTCCATTTAACTTAACAGTGGGTTAAGTTAAAANAAAAAAAGTTTGGATGTTGAAAGGACCGTGGCAGTCAGCGGATCCGAGGCTAACAGCACCCAGAGCTAATGGTCTAAAGTTAGCCCGGGCTGCTACAGGGAGGCTAACGTTAGCCCCTCTGTAGCAGCCGTCTCTCTGCATATCCGTCTGATGGCAGTTTTTTATATTCTTAGTTATTATTCTCCCACTGAATGAAAACACTAATCATTTACTATTAACAGCAGGAGGTTAAATGCAGCTCCAGACTAGCTGAGCATGTGGTGATGTCATCAGGACGCCTCTGTTCCAATTGCCCCATATTTATTCTACATGCTCCCTTTCCCCTAGAGTCCACACTTTCCTCTGTTCTTCTCAAGAACATACTTGGCGAGAACAGAAGTCTGTACTCACGTTCTTGTGAATTGAGAAACGGCTTGCATCAAGACGATGAGGGTTTGGGATAGTTTTTAAGCTGATGCTGTGGTTTACCAGTGGGAACAGGGTGTAGAGTAAATATCATTTCCTAAAAAATATATGGTGAGGATTAGATTTTTTTTTAAAGAAATTAGGCAATGATGCAATAATTATTATTTTTTTAATTCAAACTTAGGGCTTCACTAACGATTATTTTGCTAATCAATTAATCTGTCAAATATTATTTGTTTTTTATTAATCAATTAATACTCGGATAGCAAAATGTTCTTTAAAGGAGTATTTTTTATTTTTTTTATCAAACCAGGTGAAACTAAAACTTTTCCACTTCAGCAGAGGTGTAGCCAAAATATTTAAATATTGGTGGCCAGTGAATAACCAATATACACTGAGTGGTGGCCAAAAGTGGATAAGAGCCAGAACCTCAGAGTAAATCTACAGGAAGGAGCACAACATCCATATTTTCTAAATAAAGACAAAACTATACTTTCCTACAGCCTTTGCTAACAAATAGATGCATATATAGTTAAACATCCATGCTTTCTAAATTAAAGGTAGAGTGGACAAAATTTCTGGGGCAAACATCTTTTCCATTTTAATTACGTACCTACTTTCATCAAAAAAAATGTTCTGCATAATATTAATATTTACATGCACTAATATCTACATTAAATGGATTTTTAAATTATTATTAAAGTAATTATTTATCTATGATTTCACTAAAATGGCTTGAATAGACAGTTAATTTTCTCATTACCCCATATAACGAAAAATTTAGTTCTAAAAAGAGCATGAATACTGTATGTATCAACTTTAATGTTAGTATTTTGAAGTGCATTGTTAACCACAGCGGGTTAGTTGTCAAGCAGTTGTTAATATATAAAACAGTTTTAATGTTTTGAATATTCCCTTTGAGAGTATTACTGCTTCCATTTTAGGGGTGACCAATGATTGGCTAAGGGCAGCCATGGCCACCTCTGGCCCACCAATCTAACTCCGCCCCTGCACTTCAGGAGTTTTGGATACATAATATTGATAGAGAGAAAATGTGTTTTTAATCTTAAATGCAAAATGTGCACA